CCAAGGACAGAGGAGCCTGGGCTACAGTCTGTGGGGTCACAAGAGTCAGCCACGACTTAGCAGCTAAACCACCACCAATGGAGGTGCCCAGCCCAGGAGCTCAATGTCATGACAGCCTAACTCTTGATGTTTAGAGACCCAAATCTAAATTTCCCAGTTTTCTTCTGTCTTTAAAAAAAAAAAAAAAAGTGTGTGTTTTTATTCCCACAGTGCCTAGGGCGTGGCCAGGAGCTCGTCAGTGCTTACTGAAGGGATGAGCCTCATGCCTGCCCTTCTCAGGCTTTGAATGGGATTTCCTTTCCATGCAGGAGACTCAACTGTGCAGAGCTCTGGGCTGGGGCCACCTTGGAAAATGCCACTCATGGCTCTCCATTCTGTATGGTGCTGCCACAGAAAAAAAACAAATCTTTGGCAATCTCTGATTTTCCTTCTCCTTACCTTTCTGATCTTGGAAAAAATATTTATTCTCTCTGGAGCTTAACTTTCTTCCTCTAAAATGATCATTTCTTAATCTCATCCCACTCTCAGTTCAGTTCAGTCGCTCAGTCATGTCCAACTCTTTGCGACCCCATGGACTATAGCACGCCAGGCTTCCCTGTCCATCACCAGCTCCCGGAGTTTACTCAAACTCATGTCCATTGAGTCGGTGATGCCATCCAACCATCTCATCCTCTGTCATTCCCTTTCTTCTCCCGCCTTCAATCTTTCCCAGCATCAGGGTCTTTTCCAGTGAGTCAGTTATTCGCATCAGGTGGCCAAAGTATTGGAGTTTCAGCTTCCCACTCTAACATTCTATTAACCTGGCCCCGTGTTTCAAGTCTGTCTCTAAATAAGGACAAAGGTAGGAAACTCGGAATGATGAGAAGCGAGGGAGTCCATAAATTCTTCATGAGAACATTCCATCTAAAAGTCATCTTCTGCGCTTGAAAGTAAATTATACTCTTTAGTCAAGTCACACCTACCCTTGTAAATGCCAAACATAGGTCCAGCTTTAAAGTGTTGTAAAAACTGTATTCCATCAGTTTTATAACAACTTTATTGAGATGTAATTTACATGCCAATGCAGTTCACTCATTTCACTTGAATTAAGGCTCTTCACAGAGTTGTGTAACCGTCACTGCCTTGTTTTAGGTCATTTGTATCTCCTCCAAAAGAAAGCTGTACTGATTACCCCTAGTGCCTCATTCTGCCTCCAGCCTTAGACAACCACTACTCTTCTTTCTGTCTCTATGGATTTGCCTGTGGACATTCCGTATCTGTGGAATCGCACAACATGTGGTCTTTTGTGGTGGCTTTTTTTTGCTCAGTGTTTTCACGGTTTACTCATGCTGTGGCATGTACCAGAACTTCATTTCCTTTTACTGCTGAATAACCTTCTATTACGTAGATGTGCTGCGCTGCGCTGTTGTTTCAATCATGTCTGAGTCTTTGCGACCCTCTGGACTGTAGCCCGCCAGACTCCTCTGTCCACGGGATTCTCCAGGGAAGAATACTGGAATGGGTTGCCATGCCTTCCTCCAGGGTATCTTCTAGACCCGGGGATCAAACCCACGACTCCTGCAGCTCCTGCATTGCAGGCAGATTCTTTACAGCTGAGCCACCAGGGGAGCCCATTACTTGGATGTATCATAGTTTATTTTCTGTTCATCAGTTGATGAATGTTTGGGTTGCTCCATCTTTGGCTATTATGCACAAATACTGCTATGAACATTTGTGTGCTAGTTTTTTTATGTTTTTATATGTCTTCATTACTCTTAGGTGTATATAGCTAGGAGTAAAATATCTTTGTCATACAGTAAGTTTATATCTAGCTTTTTGAGGAACTGCCAGACTGTTTTCCAAAGTGCGACACCGTTTTACATTCCCCGCAGCAGTGTATAAGGGTTCTAACTTCTCCACATCCTCTCCAATAATTAACATTTTCCTCTTTTTTTCTGGATTGTTACTGTCCTAATGGATATGAAGTGATATTTGTTGTGATTTTAGGTTTGCATTTCCCTTATGACCAAGGATGTTGAGCATCTTTTCATATGTTTATTGGCTTTTTTTATATCTATCTTGGAGAAATGTCATCAAATTCTTTGCTTATTTTTAAATTGTGTTGTCTTCATATTATTGAATTCTTTTTATATTCTAGATGCACATCTCTTATCAGATATACGATTAGCAAAATTTTTCTCATAGTTCATAATCAATTTTTTTGATTCATTCATTTTCTTTTTAGAAGTATTGAAATCTGAAAGAACAGATACCTTAATCTCAAAGCAAATGATTCTCTATTATATAGAGAAAAGAAGTATCTGTATATATCCTAGAACATCTGTGACACAGCAGAGCAGTAGAAAAATCACGTGCAATGAATGGTTTGCTGTTTCGTGATAAGAGATTTGGCACCAATGGGAAGTCAGCCTCTAAAGTATGAAGAGAAGTTAAGTTGCCAAAAGATATGTGATTGAAATCGCTCATCACTTATCATTAATATATATTTATGGAACACCACTCTGTATTGGGATTAAATAAGAACAGTCAAGAGTTTGATTCTCATCTTATTGATGGGATTGATAGTCATGATGACAACACAAGAGCTTTTTAAAAGCCTCGATATCCTATAAGACTTTTAACAAAATAATTCTTTAGAAATTTTTCTTTTTTTGTTTGCTTCTATGCCTTTTCCAAAGATTGAATATTTGATTTAAGAATTTTTGTTAACATATAGGAAGTAAAGAAGATATCATATATACATATATTTTTTCCTTTTGAGTTTCAATGATGTTTATTAAAGTGCCTTCTTCGGTTAATGTGTAGAAATCTTTAAAATATTTAAAGATCTTTAAAAGAGCTGCCCAAGAATTAATTTATTCTCTGAATGAGTAATTAGATTGTTTATATTTATGACTCTGGGAAAAGGGACAGGGAGTAAAAGTGGTGGATGAAACACCTTGATTGTGCCTCTTGGAGCTCACAGGCAATCAACAGGTAAAAAATACAAGTAAATGTAGAGTTAATACATTTTAGGATTGCTGTGAAGGAAAAGGAGAGGGTGCTGATAATAATGTGGAGATTTCTTTAGGCTGAGGGGTCAGGGAAGTAGACTAGGATGTGTGGAGGGTTAGACAGACCAGCCAGAGAAGGAAGAAAGCCCTGCAGGAAAGAACGTCCCAGGGCATGGGAGTGCAGGAAGGCTGCTTAGTTGGATAGAAAGGTAGAAAGTGGCGAGATCTGGGAAGAGCCAGTCCATAGAGGAGGTCATAGTCCACACTGTAGAATTTGAATTTCATTCAGAGTGTACTGAAATGGTTTTGAGAGTTTTAGCAGAGGAAATCACATGACCTGACATAAACTTGAAAATGACCATGTTAGCTGCTTCATGAAGACTGATGTGTAGAGATGAGGTAGGTGTGGAATCTAGGTGACCCTTTAAGAGGGATTTGCAGGTGCCTGAGTGAGTAATGACAGTGGCGTGGACTGAGACGGGGCAGTGGGAAACCAAAAAGGTGAATGTGCTTGAGATTATTTTGGAGACAGGATGTCATGGTTAAGAGTGTGAGTTCTAAAGTCAGACAAACTGGTTAGAATACGAGTTCCCCCTCTTACTGTGTGACCATGAGCAAAGAAGCTTCTCTATAATAGGAACCATCTCAGAGAGTCATTATGAAGACTGAGTGGGTTATTAATTCTCGCCAGGCATCATAAGAGTCCACGCAGAGTGAATGCTTTAGTAAATGTTGTGGATATTGCTTTGGTATTTAAGTGGACAGGTGTTGGTCACAGTTTAAATGGGGAAGTTGGCAGGGGGTGGTGTCAAAGGCAGTTGCCAAGTTTCTGGTCTGAGTGCCCACCTGGTGTGGATGATGCCAGGTCCTGAGATGGAGGAAACCCAAGAGAAGCGGCGTTGGAGGGGAAGGAAGGACAAGAAGCCTGTTTTGAATGTTTTAGTTTCAGACATGCCTGAAATCCTCAAGTGGAAACACCAGGCATTTGGAATCTGGTGCTCAGTGTAGTGTCCTGGGCCAGGGATAGAGCTTATATTTTAGATCGTGCTCCTTATCATGTGTAAATTTGTAAAACAGTCAGCACTTGGAAATAATTTGACATTCTCCTGGATGGGCCCACCCAGGACCGAGATATTGAAGCAGTGTAGTGACCCTGACTCTCCTTGAAGAAGTGGCAGATAGGGGAAAAGGGTGTGGAGGTTGTCATCAAACAGGCCATCTTTTGATGTTTACTCCTCCACTTACTATGTAGATGACCACGAACAGTTATAAGTGTTGGCAATGAATTCAGCGAGTCGCAGAGGAGGAATGATGGACCTTTCCCAGGATTCTGTCTTCAATATCAGGGACCTGGTGGGGCCAGTTCCTGAGAGGGAGGAAAGTGAGACGGAAGACTGCTTCTCAAAGTCGCCACTTCCTCAGCTGGAAATTAGTATACTTTCCTCTTAGGTAAGGACCCAAAGAATGTACCTAAGATGCCTAGCATAGTACCTGGTTCATAGAAGACACTTTGGGCTCTTCTTCCTCTCTTATCTCAGCTACAAGCATCACAACCATCCTGCCTGAATCTGCTTCCAGGTTAAGATGTAAATGGAAGCAGTGTGGTGACAGAACTCGTCCAGGAACAGGGTGAAGTGAATGACACCCTCCATGAGGGTACCAAAAAGAAAAAAAAAAAATGGAGTAATTAGGATAAATATTATTTCAATGCAATATTTTGAAAAGTGAAAACACATGCCCCAGATCCATGATGACTAAAGTCTATTTTTAATAAAGCCCAGGGGAAGTATTCCTGATTTCTCCCTTTGCCTAACGCTCCAGCCCTCAGTGGGATTCCCTTGTAGCTCAGTTGGTAAAGAATCTACTTGCAATGCAAGAGACCTGGGTTTGATTCCTGGGTTGGAAAGATCCCCTGGAGAAGGAAACTGGCCACCCACTCCAGTGCTCTTGCCTAGAGAATCCCCATGGACAGAGGAGCCTGGTGGGCTACAGTCCATGGGGTCGTAAGAGTTGGACACGACTTAGCGACTGAACCACCACCGTCACCAGCGGTCGGTATGGAATGATACTCTGGCTAGGTGAAAGCCAAGAAAACAGCTTCAGTCCCTGGGCCCCCAGGACTCTCTCTCCTTCCTTCCCAAGTTGGTGGCTAGGAGTCAGTCAGCTGACTTGCGTCCTCCCAAGATCTCTCTCTCGATGCAAGAGAGCGTGTTCCAAGTCGGGATGCCAGGTGTGGGGCCTCTGCTAACCCAGCCCCCAGCCCTGTCCGGTCAGGGCCACGTGGGAGCTGGGGCTCGCCCCACCTCGGAACACCAGACCCCGCTGACCTGGAACGCTTGAGCAAACACGGAGTGCTCTATTAGAGGCTGGGGTTTAAAGGTCAGCTCTGTGCTTATAGGCTGAGTCTGATTCTCTGTCTCCGTGACTCTCAGGGAGTCTGATGCCTGCAGAGTGGACTGAGGAGGTAGATGAGTCTTTCCATGCAGAGCGCGGAGCTGTTTGCTTTGCAAGGAGCTGTCTCTGCCCACAGGAAGTCCGCAGGTCAGCCGCAGGCGGGAGACGCGCCGAGGTCCCCTGCGTCGCACGCTTCCTTCTGACTGGAACTTAGAAAGCTCGAGGTACCTGCGGTCGTTGGTGGCTTGTGGCTTTCAGCTTTTTCCTGTGAAAACTCAGATTTCCAACTGAGACAATTTGGTGATTTCAACATGGTCAGCAGGCAGGCAGTGAGTGAGGAAAAGACAGATGTGTCCAAGCCCCTATCTACTGTGCAGAGACCAGTGGTGGACGTTTTGAGCTTTCGGGTCCCTTTAACAAAAAACTGAGAATGGGAATATAATTTTTTAAAGTTATGTTCAGGATTTTTATTTCAATGTAAGGAAAAGAATGTTCCTAATTTTTAAAACGTTTTACTGTAAATGTAGCGTATGCTTGTCATGTATGAATGATTTGGGCTAAGACAGTAATTAGCAAAGGGGAAGATTGTTCCAAGTTGCTAATGGACAGTCTTCATGTCAATGGCACTTTAAGATTGCAACATTTTGTTTGGTGACCTTCATACCAGTTGACTGCATGCCCCTTAATCTCTTGCTCTCAGAAAAAGCTGAGCCTGCTATAGATTTGGTCAGTTGTGTGGTTTTCTTTTTTTTTTTGTTTAACCCAGTTTTTCATTTACCTACTGCTTTATGACTCCTGGTTTAATTTGTACAAAAGGATGAAGTTCATTATTACATAACCCTGAAACTCATCTTTAGGAAAAATAAGTGCAAGGGTTTCCATGGATTGAGACTGAAACACGTCTGTATGTGTTGGGGGTACACTTTTAAGAGTATAAGAATGCTTCGGAACAGCTGTAAACTAGGGACACAAATGCACACAGGGAGAAGAAATGCCGTGTCGGGGGAATAATGTATCTCTCAGGCTTGAACCTATAACTGAAAGTTCAAAAGCAGAGTAAATGTTGGGACTTTTAAGCTTGTGTGAGCATTGTCAACTTGTAGATACACCTTCTGCATAGATCTCTCTCGATGTGCAGTTCCCTGCCCTTCTGTTTTTTGTTTTTTTTTTTTTTAGTATCTTGTCTTTATTTGTCAAGAATTAATGCAAAGACTTTTCAGACTATGAATAAACAGTGCAGGGTCCCTGGGCATGGTTGCACAGCATACCCATGGCAGTTTTATCTTTTAAAGAGTTAAACAAGATTTTCAATTATCTAAGTACAGATATTTAGTAGTTGAGTTGTGATACTTATTCAAGGGGGCCTAATTTCATCCCTTTATTCTTACCTCCCTTCTCTCTCTCTCCTTCTCTCCTCCTCCCTTCTTTTCTTTCCTCCTCCCTTCTTTTCTTTGCTCATTTATTCTTATCATGTCCACTTGAGTGCTTAGATTATCTTACTTCTATCTCTATGAAACTAATACTCTATACTCTCTATACTAATACTAATACTCTCTAATACTCTATGAGTATTAGTTTTAAATCAAATCTATTAGTTCCACCAAGAACCTGAAAGCCAAGTTAATATCATTTTTTAACCTACTATTTTTCATCTAAACGTCTTCTCTCTTGCCCCATTATTACAGTTCAGTTGCTCAGTTCTGTCAGACTCTCTATGACCCCACGGACTGCAGCATGCCAGGCCTCCCTGTCTATCACCAACTCCTGGAGCTTGTTCAAACTCATGTCCATTGAGTTGGTGATGCCATCCAACCATCTCATCCTCTGCCATCCCCTTCTCCTCCTGCCTTTTATCTTTCCCAGCATCAGGGTCTTTTCTAATGAGTCAGATCTTCGCATCACGTAGCCAAAGTATTGGAGCTTCAGCTTCAGCATCAGTCCTTCCAATGAATATTCAGGGTTGATTTCCTTTAGGATGGACTGGTTGGATCTCCTTGCAGTCCAAAGGATGCTCAAGAGTCTTATCCAACACCACTGTTCAAAAGCATCAACTCCTAGGCCCCATTATTACAGTAGTTACTAAAATTAGCATTTGGACAGAAAGTCACACCAGTAAATTGCCTTCTTTGGGTTTAGGTAGTCTCATATGTATAGTATTCAGCTAAAAGATAAGTATAATAAGCTATAAACTGGCTACTCTATTTTGAAAAATCATCACTTACCTCTCTAAACCAAATGCAAATAGTCACAGAATTTATGGATGATAGTGTGAAAAAAATCATTAACCAGACATTCAGTTTTCAGGAGAGAACGTCAACAATTCCACTATAAATTGTAGCTGTTGGATTAAACGTTGATCCGTGAATAATCAGGAGAATAATCTGACTACTTTCCTGCTGAGCTAAAATCTAGCACTGCCGTGTTTTCTCCCGTGGCGCCCCCCAGTGTGGGTTAGTTACTTGCTCCTGGGAATTTCCTATCGACAAGTGCATCTCTGTCCATGAGCCATCACCTGTTCCTGGGAATGGCTAATGGCAGTGGTACAGCATGCTGAATTTTAACGTGAGAGTGGCCTGCTCTGGCTTCAGAAATGGGTCCTACAAATGTGAAACCATGAGAACTGTTGGGAGCAGTTTTAGAGTCAGGAAAATTCGTCATACCTGGTATAGACAGTGTTCACCATGCTGCTGCTGACACATATCTGTAAGTAACTTGCATTCAGGAATGGGAAACCCTCATCTCTAAAGAACTTGCGGTTTTTCTTTATCCTTCCTTTTATTTTCATTGACCATCTTTGCAGCCACCGCTCTGTCCCCGCTAACTGACTGGGTACCTGCCCACCGCTGGTGTTAAGTTCAGAGTTGGACCCAGGCCCTTCAGACTCCAGCCATTCGGCCCTTACTTCCTCGTGCCTTTCGGGTGTCCTTGACCTTAATTTGGCTGGTCGGGTTGCCGTTCTCCACACTCGTCCCTCCCTGGCCTTTGTGTGGGCTCGTCTCACATTTATTTTTAACTGGTGGCACGTGGCCCTTCTCTGTCACCTGCCAGGCTGTAGTCTCCCCTCCTCCAGAGCCAGCCCAGGTCTTGTCTTCTCTGGAAAGACCTTCCTGTATCTGAATCTAGATTCTGTACCCAGGACTTGCTCACAGTTTTTTATGTTTTTTTTTTTTAAGAAATTAAAAAAAATTGAAGCATAGTGTTGTGTTGATTTTTATATAATCTCTGTATAATTCATTTTTATATAATCTATAATGTTAATATCTCCAATATTCTTGCCTGGAGAATCCTGTGGACAGATGAGCCTGGTGGCCTGCTGTCCATGGGGTCGCACAGAGTCAGACACGACTGAAGCGACTTTGCACGCATGCGTGAGTTGGAGACAGAAATGGTAACCCACTCCAATGTTCTTGCCTGGAGAATCCCAGGGACAGAGGAGCCTGGTAGGCTGCCATCTGCGGGGTTGCACAGAGTCGGACATGACTGAAGCGACTTAGCAGCGGCAGCAGCAGCAGCATAATGTTAATATATAAAAATTTTCATTTGTATATAATCTATAATGTGTTAATTTTGGCTGTACAGCACAATGATTCAGCTATACACTATATGCACTCTTTCACGTTCTTTTCCGTTATAGTCTATCAGAGAACATTGAACATAGTTTCCTGCTAACAACCTTAGGACCTTGTTTATCCATTGTGTACACAACAGTTTGCCTCTGCTCATCCCAAATTCTCAGTCTTCCATTCCTGCCTCCCCACCGCTTGGCAACCACCAGTCTGTTCCCGAAAGCAGGGGTCCCCAGCCTCTGGGATCTAATGCCCAATGATTTGAGGTGGAGCTGATGTAATGATAATAGAAATAAAGTGCACAGTAAATGTATTAGGCTTAAATCATCCGAAACCACCCCCTCCTTCCCAGTCCAGGGAAAATTTGTCTTCCGTGAAACTGGTCCCTAGTACCAAAAAGTTTGGGGCCCACTGCCCTGTAGGACTTGCAAACTCTTGACCATCCAAAGACACATGTCATCAAGCAACCTGAATCTGTTGAAACTATTCAAAGACTGAGAGTCTCAGCCTTTGTTTTGTGTTTGGTAATCTCATGGCAGGTACTTTGTAGAGTGTGTCTCAGCTTAGGAAATGAACTTCCAGGTGGTGGGCCTGGCAGAATGGGAGGTAACCAAGTCTGTTTTAATAACGCTCCATCTCTAAAGGCTGCTTTTTGATGGAACAAGCCAGGGAAAGACCTGCTTATCTGTGTTATGCACTCTTTCACGTTCTTTTCCGTTATAGTCTATCAGAGAACATTGAACATAGTTTCCTGCTAACAACCTTAGGACCTTGTTTATCCATTGTGTACACAACAGTTTGCCTCTGCTCATCCCAAATTCTCAGTCTTCCATTCCTGCCTCCCCACCGCTTGGCAACCACCAGTCTGTTCCCGAAAGCAGGGGTCCCCAGCCTCTGGGATCTAACGCCCAATGATTTGAGGTGGAGCTGATGTAATGATAATAGAAATAAAGTGCACAGTAAACGTATTAGGCTTAAATCATCCGAAACCACCCCCTCCTTCCCAGTCCAGGGAAAATTTGTCTTCCGTGAAACTGGTCCCTAGTACCAAAAAGTTTGGGGCCCACTGCCCTGTAGGACTTGCAAACTCTTGACCATCCAAAGACACATGTCATCAAGCAACCTGAATCTGTTGAAACTATTCAAAGACTGAGAGTCTCAGCCTTTGTTTTGTGTTTGGTAATCTCATGGCAGGTACTTTGTAGAGTGTGTCTCAGCTTAGGAAATGAACTTCCAGGTGGTGGGCCTGGCAGAATGGGAGGTAACCAAGTCTGTTTTAATAACGCTCCATCTCTAAAGGCTGCTTTTTGATGGAACAAGCCAGGGAAAGACCTGCTTATCTGTGTATTTTAGCTTTCCTAATTGGTAACAGTTGTCTCTGGAAAATTGTTCATGTGGTTATCCAAGGTGATCATTAATATTCTTAACATTGTAAATTTCATTGTCTAATCTCTTTGGAAGTTTTTATTGCCTTGCTCAGAGTTAATCAATAACAGTTTTGCTCAGGAAAACTTTTTTTCCTCCTATCTTAACCATTTTTAAGCAGACAGTTAAATGCTATATGTGTTTATGCTGACTATTTCACACATGCAGGTCTTTTTTTTTTTGTAGTTATTAGGTTATAGCCCTTTGATCACTGAAATTAGATTATGAAAGTA